ACCCTATCCGGATCCAATAAAATCACAGGATCTTGTGTAACAAAACAAACGTGAAAAACATAAGAAATTGTAAAAAAACAAAAATTTACTATGATAACTAACTTCCGACCTCTAAGTAAAGTTTTCAGAATGAAATTTTACTTATAAGACACAATTGTTAATGTTAGATATATAGTGAATTTTTGAGATACTGCAACCCATATTTTTTTGGCCGGCAGCTCGGAATTTCCTTGACATAAGGACCTTTCGTACTAGCAGAATGATCTGGTATTGTAAAATGATTTTTTTTTATGTTGCACACCGGGTGAAGAATCAGTCGTGTAACATCGACGGTTCCTCCTGTTATTGCATTAATATCAAAAACGTGATCGGTGATCGATAGCTGATAGTAGAGTTTGGAACCGGTTTTATTTTTCTTATGTTAAATCCGATTAAAACCGGTTTTAACATAAGAAAAATAAAATCGGTTCCAAACACTAGCTGATAGTCAATTGGTCGTATAAAATCAAGATTTCAAAAAAAATTTTTGATCCTTCCTTCTTACTGAGGCGAGTTATTCAATATGGTAAATTAATTTTCCTGATATTTTTTTTTGAATGTTTCAGACTAGCATAAAATGAGAAGAGAATTTTATGTAATTATGTATAGTTCATTGATATACAAAGGCAAGGCCATAAATTTCCCCTAACAAAAAGCCATTAAATATTATTCACAGACCAAGTTCAGTATAAGAGCACCACTAATAAGATTTATTATTAATCTGCTCAATCTATAATGGGGACCTTTATACTAAACTTTGTCATTATTCATAATAATTAAATATTTTTATCCGCCATAATAGCATTTTTCTAGCTAAAAAATTTATTTACTTATCCTCAATATTAGTCACTCGTCGTGCCTGATAAGAACCAGTTTCAGCACATTCTTCGTTTATTAAACACCAACGTCGAGTAAGTTATTGGTTTGATCGTTAATCTTGTATTGTCAATATACGTTTTAATTGTCGATTTCATTAGGGGCAAGAACAAAGTTATGTTTGCCCTGACTGCCATTAAAGGAGTTGGTCGTCGTTACTCTAATCTTGTTTGCAAAAAGGCTGATGTCGATCTAAACAAGAGGTAGATTTGAAAAATGCTTTTAAAACGTGACATGGTAATTTATGTTCTAACATTCTCCGAAACGCAGAGCTGGTGAATTAACCAATGAAGAATTAGAACGTATAGTATTAATTATCCAAAATCCTACACAGTACAAGATTCCGAACTGGTTTTTGAACAGGCAAAAAGATATTGTTGATGGGAAATACTCTCAAATCTTGGCTAATGGATTAGAATCTAAATTTCGTGAGGATTTGGAAAGATTAAAAAAAATTAGAGCCCATCGAGGTTTAAGACATTTCTGGGGCTTGAGAGTACGTGGTCAACACACCAAAACCACTGGTAGACGTGGTAGAACAGTTGGTGTCTCTAAAAAGAAAGGTATATATATATATTTTTTTTTTTTTTGAAAAGCATTGAAATTGGAATGATGATTTTAAAAATCCTTATCTACATTGTCTGAAAAATAATTTTGTTGACAATATATTCTGAAATTCTATTCCAATATTAATTCAAACTTTATTCGAATTGCACTAATTGACATTATTAAATTTTCAGGTTAATCAAATACTAGCGATTGTCGAGTCGATAAATTTGATACGGCTAAGCCTGCTGTTATCTCAAAACAAATTAAATTTTTACCAATAATATTTCAAATCGTACTATGATAATCCGGAAATTTCCTCTGATCATACTTGTATTTCTTTTATGCCGTTTATTTTACATAAATCAAAAAGATAAAGTGTCGTTGTAGAACGTTTCCTAAGTAAAAAAAAAGAAAAATTATAAAAGCCGTTGCATTATGATTCCAAAATAAAACAACATTCCCAAGTAAAATTGATTCAGAATACAATGATACTATCGTGCTCGAGTTGCGCTTGGTGTTACACTGACCGGAATTAGCACTTGAAATTAATAATTTTGAGGCACGACAAATACGATGCCCATTGACTGTTACGTGCAATTACGATATGATTCTGGGCGGTATACTAGGGATGGCAAAAAACATGTTTTTTATTTTTTTGTTTTAAAACATGTTTTAAAACATTTTATATGTTTTTTATTAAAAAATATATTATTAATAAATATAATAATTTTCT